TCAATTTATTGGGGCTCATACAATTCATCACAATACATAGATTAATTGTGTAAAGCACATCTATACATTTGTTGCCCTAATCATTCCCAAAATTCTCTTGCCTCTTGGGTTCCCGGAATCCGCTCATTTTCCTTCCCCCCCACCTTCCCTTCCTCCTCCCCTTTCCCCCATGCACCCTTAATAATTTATAAATTATTTTTGTATCTTACATTACACTGTCCGGCGCCTCCCCTCACCCACCCCGCTGCGCCCGTCCCCCAGAGAGGAGGCCATACGCGGCTCCCTGTGATCCATTCCCCCTTGCTACCTCCCCCTTCCCTCCTGGTATCGCCACCGTCGCCCCCGGTCCTGAGAGGCTCCTCCGTCCTAGATTCCCTGCGCTTCCAACTCCCATCTGTACCGCTGTGCATCATCTGGTCTAACCAGGTCTGCAAGGCGAAACTGGGGTCCTGGTAATTGGGGGGAGGAAGCGTTTAAGAACTAGAGTAAGGTTGTGAGTTTCATTATTGCTATACTGTACCCTAAGTAACTCATCTCCCCACTCCCCCTCTGCAAGGTATGTCCAGTTGTCTAGAGATGGGCATTGGGTCTCCATCGCGCGCCACCCTCATTGACAAGGATATGACTTTTCTCCCCGCCTTTGGTGTTTTCTTGATGTGCACTTACCCCTTGTATAAAACTCTCTCTTATATATGAGTTTCTGTGGATCTGTTTCTCTAAAGTATCCAGAATCATATAGACGCCAAAAACGATGTTAGCAGCTAGGACTAACCATGGTTTTTTCCGTAGAGGGAGCAAACAGCTCGCTGCTCAGTCTCTGAGTTAGTTCGTACCTGGTGGATCGGGGAAGCCCCGAACAAAGGCCAATGTCCTCTCTCTGTCAGTGTGCTCGTCATCGGGTTAACAGTTTAAAACTCTGTGGGAAGTGGTTTCAGGGATAGTTAAAGGCCTTCCTTTCCCCTTTTTTTAATTCAAAATATTTGAGTAATTAAAACAAAAGATGAAGCATAGCAAGTACCTTTCATTCATTCCTTTTTAATGATGATGATTCTGTATTTTTGGAATTTACTCCTCAGGAAAATACTATACAAGGAGTCCAAGTCATAAGTAATTACATAGTTTTAGTAACTTTTCACCTTTTACTTTATTTTAAAGGAGTGAATACATTAAAATACTAAGCAGATGTGGTAAATATTATTTGTGTTCTTAAAGCAGTAATGATAGGTGCTACATGGATAGTTTCTGTTTCCTTGGGTAGCTTTGAGTCAGAATCGACTCAACAAAGAGCTTGGTGTTGCTTCTTTATTTATCCTTTTGGGGTACAGGGCTGAGGACTTCGACATCTCTCTTTTGAGGGATGTAATTCAATCCAAAACATGGACTAAAAGCAGTATACAGAACTGGAAGATACTATTAAAATCCCCTCATCTAAGGATGTCATCTAGGTAAATCAATTTGAGGCTCAGAGAAATTGAAGAAGCTTCTTAAGGTTATATAGTGAATGAGGACAGGGGTTCGAATTCTTCTTTTGGCTTCCAGGCCCTGGAATTTTGTTCCCTATTCTGGCATGGACATACCTTTGAGGGTAAGTGCTGGTATTCTTAGTGGGTACCTAAGAGCATTGAATAAATACACATCAAAATTTACCTGGCATCTTTTTATACTTTAGAATTAACATGAACGCCTAATAATTTTTTTTTATTGTTTTGAATAATACAATGATCCCAATGCTTCTTCAACTGTTCAAGTCCCTGCCCTGTCACTGGCTTAAGCTCCTCTGCAAACAGACTCTGACATTGAGATTTATGGTTCAAGTGGAGGGTCTTGAGATCAATGCCTGTGAAAGAGTGAGGGAGGTAGCATTGGGGGGGGTGGGGGCTCAGTCTGCAGGGAGTCTGACGCAGCGATGTTCCTTCAGAATTTTCCGGGAAGGATCAAAGGGGTCTGCATGGACTAGTCTTTAAGTGGAGGCTGCCCGGTGAAGGGGTTGTAGTCTTGAGAGAGGTGGCTGTGAGTATCCCTAGAGAAAGAATCAGTGCGAGTTTTCAGGTGTCCCTGACCCGTTGGCTGGTAGTCAAGTCAGTGGGGATTAGGAGAGAGGGCCATTGGGACTAAAGAAAGTGCTATTGATACACTTGATATATTTAGCATATAGCCTCATTATTTTCAAGTATCTCTTGGGCAGAAGTATGTCACTGTGGTTACTGGTACGAGTCCCGAAGCAGAAGAAAGTTGCTTTTATGACTCCAGTAATTAAGCACGTGGTGTGGGGAAATCATTTTACCTCTTTAATCCATGGTTTATGCAAGAGGAACAGTGCAAGTCTCTTGTCCTATTTGGAAGAATAAGTGTCTGGCAGTGAGCGGTTCACCCCCACCCATGAGGCTTAGGAGAAAGATGGGGCTGTGTGCCCCTGTGTTACTGTCCCAGAACCTCTGTCGAGGGCCACTGTGGATCAGAACCAAATCAAGTAGGCTTGGTTTTCATTTTGGTTTATTCAAATAACCCAGCATAACCCCAGAACAGTAATACATTCATTATCTCTTCTACATATTGTAACCTCAGCGGATTTAGGTCATGTATCCAAGATTGGTGGTATAAATACCTTTTCATCTTTCTGCTTTAGTAAACGCAGTAGGTAAGCAAGAACAACAAGGGGTAGAGAAAGGTGTAAAGCATAATCCCTGGTTTTAAAAAACAAAACAAATGGAGACATAGCATATGTATATATCCACAAATCTATGTAACCTGTATCTGTAAAGATACTCGCATTGAAGATTTTATATAATGGCCATGCTGTTGACGCTGACTTTCTTGAAGGTAATCAATCAGGGAAGAGAAGAGGGTTGCTCTGAGTCAGAACTGACTGGATGTGGTGTGTTTGAGTTTGGAATGGTCATGCTTGTAAGTATTGTGGCATCATTCTTGTGGTGGTGAAAAACTAGTCAGGTATGTGTAGAGAAGTTTGCAAAAGCAGAGTCCTGGGACAAAGAAGATTTTACATATGTGTGTGTGTATGTATATTCCTGGTGTGTGTGTGTGTATGTATATTCCTGGAGATGATTAACATGTTCTGTTAGGTTAAAAGGGTAAAGATTCATGGCTTGTGAGGCAGCATAGTGAGCTGGAGAGTGTGTAAATCCTGGATATTAGTGAACCTTGTTCTAATTTTGATCAGATTTTAGCCCCGAGTCCTTGTTAGCATTAAGGATACTGTGTATCTGTCATGCTGTACACTGCATGTCTTCAGCAAAGGCTAGCTCTGTCAGTATCAGTCCCGGTGTTTTCAGGAAGAAAAGCAGTCTAACAAGTGCACACTTGGACTAAACGCCGAGCGGTGCTCACCCTTAACCTGAGCAGCCACAGAGCTGACAGATTCTAACCCAGGAAGAGTTTGGGACAAAAGGAGAAAGATCCTGCCTATAGAAAGTCGATGATTTATTCTTCTATTTGAAAAATCAACCCTGCAAATAACAAGCGTTCTGAACATTGGAAAAACAGAAAGAGACATCACTTCTATTTGCACTTCACTTGTTTGTGAATAAAAACAAGATAATTGAATTTTGGATATTTTTTTTCTTTTCTAGGGAGGGGGAAAAAAACCTAACAGCAGAAACCATGGGTACTTCAGGAGAGAAATACAATCTCTTTCTTGGGTGGGGGTGAGTCAGGAAAAGAACGAGACTCGATATTTAAAGACCAGATGCATAATTTATGTGCAGAGCTATTTTTTCAGGCTGTTGTAATAGCAGAGGAGATGGGAAGGCATCAGCAAAAAATCAAATTAAAGTGGGACTTTGATTAATCTTAAAATAAATCTTTTTTAAAAAAGCCTGTGAATCCATGTTTCTCCATCTACAGTTATGAGAAGTTGTGGCTATTCGACAGTTCTATAGAACTGGTGAGGGGAAAAAATGAGGAGCTGATACCAAGGGCTCAAACTCAGGTAGAAAGAAAATGCTTTGAAAATAATGATGGCAACATATGTACAAATGTGCTTGACACAATGGATATATTTATGGATTGTGATGAGTTGTATGAGCCCCCAATAAAATGATTTACAAAAAAAAAATATGTTTCAACCATAATAGAACACCTAAAAAAAAAGCAAAACATTTTAACCATATCCTTTAATATGATGATAGATGCCACTAGTCCCCTAAGCCTCAGTGACCTGCAATTAGCTGCCAGAAGCAGAAACCTGGATGCTTTGCTCCAGGATTAAAGTGTGAGTGATTCATATGAAGCACCCTTGTTGTTCATATGTAAACTGTTGGTAATTAATAAAGGAAGCAATTATTGAGTGTGTTAGTCCAGGTAGACTAGAGAAACAAATCCATAGAGACTCATATGTGTTAGGAAAGAGTTTTATATAAAGAGTAATTGTATATTAGGAAAGCATCCCATCCCAGTCCAGCCCAAGCCCATCAGTCCTATATTAGCCCATATGTCCAATACCAATCTATAAAGTCCTCTTCAGACTCATGAAACACATGCAATAACACCAATGTAGGATGATCACAGGCCAATGGATAGAAATTCTTTGGATCCAGTGGCATTGTAAACATCTCAGCGCTGGCAGGGATCTCCGTATGGTTTCTCCAGGTCCAGGGTTCTGGCTGCATCAGGCTTGGTCCATGTGGCTTCTCCTGAGGGATGTCTCACAGGAAGTGAGCAGAGAGAGAAGTGTCTCTCACCTCCAAGGAGGAAATACCGGAATCCCCAGAATCCTTGGGGGAAGACCATGCCCACACAGAGGCCTCATTGGCTATATCCTGATTGACAGCCTCAACTCCACCCCTACACTTTTAATCCTCAAAATTAACAAAGGAAACTACCACATTGAGTTAGGTTGAAAGGACAGTCAATAATGTCTTTTCTTCGTGATACCATAAATGAATTATAAGTAGGTTTTTATGCAGCCTTGTTGAGTGCCCAATGTGTGTCAGACACCATTCCAGGTTCTGAATATTAGGCAGAAAATAGTCAAAGACTATTCTTTGGAGCTTATATTCCTGCAGGTACTATAATACAGGTAAATATGTGGAGTGGACAGAGCAAGCTCTTGTTCCATCTCCCAATTTCAAAAATCCATTTAATCCATTGTCCTCAGATAAAGGACATATCCGATGTTAAACTGAGGAGAATAGATACTGCACTCGATTTTGCCAGTAGGAAGAAACAATACGAGCTTATGCTCTAGCTGTGGAGGACATATTAGAAACAAGTGAACTACTCAGCAAGTGAAATTATTTCAGGAAGGGATACATTCTGTGAAGACCTTTACTATAGGAACAAGGAGCAATGGCAGAAAAAGTTACTGAGAAGTGTGACATTTGAGCCTAGACCTGGATTTTGAGAAGAAGGTGGGTGTAGGAATGATTATGCAGAAAGGGTGGTTGTTTCCATTAGGCACCTGTGAGTCAATTTTCACATCATAGAGACTCCATGTGACCGAGCGGAAGTGCCCCACAGGTTTCCTGGGCTGTCATCTTTATGGAAGCTGATCTTTCTGTATGTCTTCCTGGGAGCCATTAGGTGAGTTCGAGCTACCAAACCTTTGCTCAGCAGCTAAGTGCTTAATCATGATGCCAGTAACAAGGGCAACTAAAAAATAATTTTAAGAAATGTAAGAATGTTACATATATATATACTGATGACACTATTCATTTTGCGTGGACATAAAACAAAATAGACTATCCCCAAACAAGCGCGAATGATAGATAACCCATGGAACAAGCTCTTGATGAATTATTTTGTTGACATTTAAAGAAATTCCTATGAAGACAATACAACTCCAAGAAAAGCTGTCTAAAACACATATAATATTTAAGTGAATAAAAGAACTAGTCTAACCTTTACACCACTCTAAATATTGTCAATGCATTTATAAGGACTAGACATGAATGACAAAATATTAAAACCAGCATTTTGTACAGATATGATTATTTAAAATTTTTCTTTGGATGATTGCCTTCTGTTTCTTTTCTACAATAAATGAAATAGATTTAACAAGCAGCTTGGAGACTTTCTCTCATCCTGGATCTTGGGAACGACATCCTCCCATCTGCCGACTGGTGATCTGTGCTCTGAGTAGATGAGAGGAAGAAACAGGAAAGGAGACGTGGAGGGTCTCTGGCATAGTCTCCTCTTGCTCAGAAACTTGGATGTATGTTGTCCACAGAAGAATCTGTCTTCATTCTGATGAGCCCCCCCCATCCACGTCCAGAGGAGCATTCCTTCCCTGAAGGGAGATGCTGCCCAGACAAAGAGTTGCACATGGCCTGAATGGAAAACCTTCCATTTACAATGTTTGGAGAACTAAAACTCAGTGCTGGAAACATTGTTGGAGAGAGTTCAACAAGCCAACAGACAAGACCATGGGAGGCATGTGTTTTTCAGTGTACAGGCATCCCAAATAATTACACTTCTTTTTATCCAAACCAAAGTTATCTGCACCAGTGGGAAGCACATAGTCCCCCCAATTCTGGAATGTCTGAAATGTCACTTGTTGATTTGATTTAGCTTCCTAATGAAATATCTATGAAAACGCACATAAACTTACAAATAAGACCTTGGAATGTCATTGGTAATAAGTGATATTGTTCATCAAGGGGCCACTTGTGAAAATTTCTTGAAGGAATTGAGACATGTTGGATGTTCACTCTTTCCTAATCAATAACCGAGTGCTGCCAAGTTGACCCTAACTCATGGTGACCATGTCAGAGTAAAATTGTGCTTCATAGAATTTTCAAAGGCTATGATCTTTCAGCAATACGTTTTCAGGACTTTATTCTAAAGTGAACTGTAATCTCCAAACTTTTTAACCATTTTTAAGCCATTTGTAATCTCCACCACACGAACCATTTTCACCACCCTAAGGATCCTCACTCATTCCTAAAGATCTAAAGGTGACTAATATGTTAAGGTAAGAAATAATGTGAAGTAGATTTCACTTCACCCAGTGATATTTCCTTCCATAGAAACTCACGGTCTATAATGCTGAGCAGGCATCCTGACAGAATATGAGGGGGTAGCCAAAAACAAAGCATAACAAAAAACGGATTTTTTCAAAACTATATATTTAAATTTTATTTACAAAAAAACCTTATCACCTTCAAAATACTCTCCATTACACTTAATACATTTGTAAAATCATATCTTCAATACTATTCTTGGAAACATTTTTTCAAAGTCATCTGTTTGGATGGGTGACAGCCCCTCTGTCATTTTTTTCTTCACCTCTACTATGTCACCAAATGCATGTCCTTTCATGTCCCTCTTCACTTGAGGAAACAAAAAGTCACCTGGAGCAAGGTAAGTTGAGCCAGGTGTGTAGGACAAGAGAGGCATGCTACTTTTTCCAAAGATAACCTAGCACACTGAGATGGCTGCATGAGGAGGTGCATTGTCATGGTGCCAAAAACAGTCCCCTGTCTGCCATAAATCAGACCATTTTTGTCCCATACTCCTACTAAATCTTTTCAGAACTCCAAATGCACCCGGAGTGGACATTTTCATCCCTTCAGGAAATTGATGGTTGTTCAGAATGAGGTTTGTCATCAATTGACATTTCACCTTTGTTGAAATGAGAAAACCACTCATACGCTTGAGTTTCCCCCATACCATTCTCCTTGTAAGCTGTGTTCAGCATCCCAACAGTTTCTGCAGCATTTTTCCGGAGCAGGAAACAAAATTTCACAGCTGCATGCTGTCCTCTTAAATTGGCCACCACAAAAAATGAGATTGAACGAAGCTACTTTTACAAAAAAAATTCACTGTGACCAGAGAGAACTTTCCCAGGCAAAGCCACTGGGTGCACTCCTAGCAAACTCGATGCTCTCCTCGCAGGAAAAATTCATACTACAAAAGCTCTGCTTCGCCCAGCACAGTTCCGGTTTTTTGTGGGGTACTCTATCCCTTGTTACTGAAATGGCACCCTGAGATACCCACATCACTTACACCCTTCCCCTCATTTCTCTGCTGGCTCAGCATTAAACCAAAACCCCAACTCACTGACATCAAGTTCCCTCGTTTTGACTCATAGCAGCTCTACGTGGAAGAGTAGAGAGCCTCCGAGATTTCCAAGGCCATCCTCAGGAGGGCCTCCTGGCCCCTTATCCTGACTCCATCTTCTGAGTTTTCACCCACATTCTGAGCAGAAATGACCCACAATATGGGTTTTACAAAATTTAATTAAAATTGTTTTACTGGGGACTCTTACAGCTCCTATAACAATCCATACATCCATTGTATCAATCACATTTGTACCTATGTGGCCATCATCATTTCCAAAATGTTTTCTTTCTACTTGAGCCCTTAGTATCAGCTCCTCTTGTTTCCCCTGACCCTCTCACCCTCCCACCGTGTGAACCCTTGATAACTTATCAATTATTTTTTATTTTCATATTTTACACTGTCCATTGTCTCCCTGGGGGGTGGGGTGGGGGTGGGAGGAGTGTATGTCAATCATTGCAATCAGTTTCCCCTTTCTTCTCCTCCTACCTTCCTCCTATCTTCCTCCTATCTTCATGGTACCACTACTCTCAATATTGGTCCTGAGGGCTTTATCTGTCCTGGATTCTGTGTGTCTAGAGCTCTTATCTGTACCAGTATACATGCTCTGGTCTAGCCAGATTTGTGAGATAGAACGGGGTCATTACAGTGGGGAGTGGGGGTGGGGGGCATTCAAGAACTAGAGGAATGTTGTGCATTTTTGTTGGTGCTTTCCTGCACCCCGGCTGGCTCATCCCTTCCTTGTGATCCTTCTGTTAGGGAATGTCCAATAGTCCAAAGATGGGCTTTGGGTCTCCATTCCAACCCCTCTCATTCACATTGAAATGGTTGTTTGTTTTGAGTCTTCTGATGCTTGATACCTGATCCCATCAACACCTCATGATCACATGGGCTGGTGTGCTTCTTCCATGTGGGCTTTGTTGCTTCCCTGCTAGAAGGCCAGTTGTTTAACTTCAATCCTTTAAGCGGGTCTTTAATTATCAGGAGTACAACCTATGGTGAAATGAAAATGGCGGCTGAGCCGTGCCTGCTGGGGTAGGAAGTCAGGTGGGATGTAGCAAAGAGCCTGTTCCTACCAATGTGCAAAGGGAATTTCTTGTCTTCCTATACATCAAACACAACTCCCTGCCATGGACTGATGCTGACTCATAGCGACCCTGTAGGGCAAGGCAGAAATGCCCATGAATTTCTGAGATTGTAACTGTTTGAAGGAGTAGCAGCCCCTTCTATGTACATAGGCTCTCAAAAAGTATTTCAAAATAAATGCACCTTCTAATAGCCAGGAGGTCATGGAAGAGAGGGCTTGGTCCAGTAGAGCTGTCCTAGATTCAGGTCAATTAGATGTACATTTTTTCAGGATCTGTGCACAGTGACTTGTCCTCAATTCCATGATGATTCTTACAGCCTACGGAGAGACGGAGGGAGAGAGTGAGCTCTGTAGGGAGGTAAATGTAAGGCCTACGCAGCACATCCTTCATCAGTCTGAAGATGCAGAACTGCAGAGTTAACAGAAAGCTTAGGGAGAGACTCTCTTACATAACAGACTGGAATAAGCTTCCTACTTGTACAAAGGGAAATAAACCTGTAAAATTATTTACCAAAGGCATCAAAGGGAAAACAAATCAGATAATATTCACACATTTTCACAGCGTTATGTGAGACATTGTGGTTCATTAAATTGCAAGCTTGAGAATGGGGAAAGGGACAAGAGTTTTAAGAATTGGAATGACTACCCGTGTGTTAGCATGCCTGGAAGACAGAATACAATGGATCAATATATTTAATATGCGGAGGAAAATATACGTTTTCCACCTGGAGTATTATAGGGTGCCTGAAGGGCATTAATGCACGTGCAAGTTTGGCGGAAATGAGAGTTTCATTCACTTTTTAGGGACAGCTGGTGGCTTCACAGAAGAGAAGCGCGGGAACCTGGTCTTCAGGACGAATCCCCTGCGCGATCTTCTGTCTTCTGCTCTGTCTACCCTTTCACCTTTGGGATTTATATTGCTCCATATCCACTGAACTACGCCACCCCCACTTTTCTCGCATTATTTCCTGCTCAACTCCTTTTTGAAAGGTTTTGTCTCCAAAAGGAAGAGGAAGAGAGAACACACCAGCTCTTTAAAAATCATGCTTATCGCTGGCTCAACAATCCCTTGACTAGAAACGC